AATACATAATAAACAGAGAAGAGCATTTCTTTCTACAAGTTAATTGTTTACATATATTAAACAAAATGATTCAAGTGGCCTGTTTTAAAAACTCTTTAAAATGTTTTTCAGGGGCCGGCCCGTGGCTCACTCGGTAGAGTGCGGTGCTGATAACACCAAGGCCCCGGGTTCGGATCCCATATAGGGATGGCCGGTTCGCTCACTGGCTGAGCGTGGTGCTGACAACACCAAGTCAAGGGTTAAGATCCCCTTACCGGTCATCTTTTAAGAAAAAAATAAAAATAAAAAAATAAAATAAAATAAAATAAAATAAAATGTTTTCCAGAAAAAGCAGAAAATGAAGTTTTTAATCCTCTTGTATTCTGTACTCACTCTTTAAGGCTGTCAGACCGCCTCCTGTTTCTTCCCCATGAAGAACTTCTACTTCGAGTTCTCCTTTGGCTGGGGCTTCTTGATCTCCTGTGATCACTTGGAGAACAAGGATGACGTTCTTTTGATTTCATTTGGCCTGGTGCTAGAATATGAAGAACAAGACTTATAATTTATTACCTGAAAACCCTATTAACAGCCACTCAACAAGTATCATTTTCTGAAAGCATTTTACATTAAAAAAATCTGTTACTGCTGAAACTCATTCTGCTGAATAAATAACATCTGATGTTTAATCATACTTACTTTTGCGATCACCTTGTGCAAACTGTATTTCAATTTGACGGCCACATACCCACTTTCTATTGAGGTTATAAAGAGCATCTTCAGCATCTCGAACATCTTCAAATATGACTAGCTGTTAAGGATACTTTGAACATCAGACATCAAGTAAAAATATTTTTAGAGTATTATTTACATATGAAATGAAATTAATAGGAAAAACAAGTTCAAGTTATTAAGCTCATCTCCAATATAATATGAATAAGCAGAAAAAAATTTCACTTTTCATTATGAAAAGAAATGCCCAATTATGAACCTAAAAAAAAAAGTGTAACTGTACTTTTAATGTATACATCAGTGTAGCTGCATTATACATGTATAATTTGAAACATGTCATAAGAAAAAAAAATATCCAAAATTGACTAGCTTTATAAAACTATTTAGGACTCACTCCCTTCTTTCAGATAAAGGATCCATGAGGTTTTTCACTGAAAATACCAGAATGTAGAAGCCTTTATTCTGAAATTAAAATTACGCTTTCATTAAAAGGCTTTTAAATTATGACATCTAGGAGAAATTGCTTATTATAAATAAAACTGCACACATACTAGTGAGCTAAAACAAAAACTGATTTAGTCTTTTAAAAATGATATCTACCTTTTAATCTACCAGATTGAACATTCCTTTATGTTTTTGCTACTTGGAATACAAGCATAAAAAGAAACATAAAAGCAATCTGCAAATATCTGAAATTACATATACTGCTTGGTAATACCCCACTAAACTCCTGTATCTATATAAGTTATATAATACTAAACCTAATTATAATGGAAATTAGATATATAAAATGATCAAATAGTTATATTTCAGGAGGTTGTTTACTGGTTTAATTTTTTTAAAATAGCAAACAGAAAAAGCTCAATAAATGCAATATAAAATGAGATTTTGGCAATTACCTCAATGTCACTTGGTCTTGAACCTTGACCTTTACTCTTTAAGGCTTGCAAGATGGACTTTACAAGAGACGCAGAACCAACAAAATCAGACTTGGCTTTGACTCTGGAACTCTGAGTAAATGTAGGAAAGCCGAAGTCTCAACCTGGTGTTGGCTTCGTCTTTTGCTTGATAAAGACTTCCCCTCTTCCAGGTCTTTATATCTGTGTCCACCCTCCCTCTTTACTCCTTGGTGCTTGAACTTTAGGTGCCTTTTGTCTTGCCTGCTTGGTTTATGCTTGGATTCTAGCTAACAGGTTGGTTCAAACTGGGGGGTGCTTGCCAGCTACTGTGGACTGCTTTAGATTTTCTGAGATAAAGAAATAAACACATTTAATTAGGAGATATTAATCTCATAACATATGCTCCTGAATACATATACATATAAGCACATATATACAGGACATTCAAATGCACACAATAAAAATAAAGGATATTGAACATAAGCAAATCCTCTTGGGCGGCGAGTGTAGAAGTCAAGTGGAATGTAAACGTCTACTATAGGGCCATATCGACCAAATTCACGGCGCAAGTCCTCAGGCCTGAAGTATTTTAGAAATAAGGCAAAAAAATATGAGTAGATGGATCAAAATATTTTGCCTACAGAAATCCAGTTGAAACTTTGAAAAGAAAGTACATCATCTAGACCAGTATTATCTAAAATTGTCTCTTGTAAGAATCACCCCAGGTTTTTAAAGGAAGGAATAAAAGAGGAAAAGAAGACTCTCAGGCCTCTCTCTTAGAAATTTTGATTCAGGAAGTCTGGATTAGGGACTGGAAATCTGTATTTTAACGAGCACTCCAGGTAGTTGTTATGCTTAGTCAATTTCAAGAAACACTGACCTAGCACATTACCTTTAAAAGTTATTCCCATTACAAGACTTAATAATTAACTGTTTCATTAAGAACACATTCATTTGTCTCATTAAAATTTCATGTTTAGGGCCGGCCCGGTGGTGCACTGCTACAGTGCGCCGCTTGGGAGCGCGGCAGCGCTCCCGCCGAGGGTTCGGATCCCACATACAGACCGGTTCCCGCTCACTGGCTGAGCGAGGTGCGGGTGCAACACTGAGGGCTGCGATCCCGTTGCCGGTCCCGGTCCGGTACGGGCGCGACACTGAGGGTTGCGATCCATTGCCGGACACGAAAAAAGACAAAAAAAAATTTTCATGTTTATGTTAAATCTTGTTTTTGGATAGCAAGAATTGGATTCCAAAGAAGTCCTAAAATTATTTCTCAGGCTTAAAAAAAAAAGAATGTTTCACTACTAAACATAAAGCAAAATAACTATTCTCAAAATTGACAGGTACTTTGAGCCTCTATATGTCATCTACTGTGATAGGTAGTGAGGAGAAATACGTGGAAATACATGGTATAATATTTGTCTTCATGGAGCTGCAATGTAACTGATGGAACAAAATATTTAGCAGTAATAGCTGGTAGTTATAGTACATTTATATACTAGCCACTGTTCATCTTAAGACCACTTAATTCTCACAACAACCCTATGGTTGTTTACAGATAAGGACACAAACAGATTAATCCCCCTGAGGTCACTGAGCCAGCAAGTGACAGAGATGGAATCAAACTTCCACAGTCTGACACTAGTCTGTTTTCTTAACCATTACACTCTATTGACTCATGAAGATCAGAAGGGTTTCAGCATCAAGCTGTGAACACAAAACATGGCTCAGGAGAAATGAGTACTTCAAAACATACTGTATAAAGAAAAGACTCAAAGACGGCTGCAAAGCTTCTTTGGGCAAATGGAAGAAAGATGGTGTCAATGACAAAAATTAGTTGGAAAAGAGCTAGGTTGCAAAGAAAGCAATTTTCAGAATAAAAGAACAAAAAGAAAATTTAAAAAACAAATAAAAAAGAAAAAACAAAAAAAGCAGTTTTCATACTTAGAAATGCAAAATTTGAGGTGATGGTGGAACATCCATAACAGTTCTGTAGGCAACTGAAAATTGTGATTATACTAGTTATATGAATTTTATTTTCTCTCAAGACTAAAAGTCAGAAGAGAAGAATCACTGATTAAGGCTAGAGATGGGGATTTGGAGTTATTACATGAAGATTCAACTAACATTGACTAAGCATCCAGCACATGCCAGGCAGCACAGCCAATATCATGACATACTTTATTTAATATTCACTATAGTAACATGTTTTTCTGCCTTCCCTAATAAGCTATTAGCTTTACAGACCAATGACAATGTCTTTTTTCTTTCACTTATTCATTCAACAAATACTTACTGAACACCTACCATGTGCCAGCCTCTAGGGATACGGTGGGGAACAACAAAAAAACACAATTCCTGCTCCCTCAGAACAAAGACTATGTGGTAAAGATTCTCAAACATTCCTGAATATTGGACTCATTTGTGAAGGGGATGTTACAGAAACAGGCACCCCAGCCCGATGCATTAACTCTAGACCTAATTAATGCTTCCTATGGTGAGGCCCAGTTATGTTTAATTTTTAAGGGTTTCATAGGCAACTGTGAGACTGAAGGTTGAGAATCACTGCTAAAGCAGGTGTCTTTGCCAGCCTATCTGTACTTAGCGCAGCTGCTGGGCACAGTAAGCACTCCATATACACCTGCCTATCAATGAGTGAAGAATATGTTACTGTTACCATTTAAGAGTCAAGGAGACTGAGGGTGAAAGAAGTTACCTTGCCCAGAGGTACACACAGCCAGTAGCAAAGCTAGAATTTAAATGATGGTCTTTTGAGGCAACCAATCTTCATTCAACAGAAAAGGAATCCTAGATAATGTGAAGGAGCATGCTGGAACAACGTATGTCACAGAGGCTTGGAGTTCTGGAAGCCAAGGGTGATGGGAGTATGAAGGAACAGATCTCCTCAAAAGAGCTGGCTCCCCATTCACTGTCTCCACTCCCTTGCCTGTTAGCTATTGTTTTGTTTTCAATTATTTTTGCATTTTTGGTGTGATATACTTCAACATTCAGAAAGTACAGAGAATAATAAAACAAACACTCATGTACCTACCAATAAGATTTATTTTATCTCGGGGCCGGCCTGTGGCTCACTCGGGAGAGTGCGGTGCTGATAACACCAAGGCCACAGGTTCGGATCCCATATAGGGATGGCCGGCTGGCTCACTGGGTGAGCGTGGTGCTGACAACACCAAGTCAAGGGTTGAGATCCCCTTACCGGTCATCTTAAAAAAAAAAAAAAAAAAAAAAAGATTTATTTTATCTCAATACTTGCCATTTGTGCCATTAATTTTCAGTATATTTTAGAAATGAGACATTATACCCTTCTACTTGAGAAATAATCATTGGTGTCCATCATTCCCCTGCATAACTACATTTTTACTGCAAATTCACATATCCATAAGTATGTGTTTTTATATATATCAAATTTTACATAAATGGTACCAGATTATTTGCATCATTTTATACCTTGCTTTTCTCCCCCTTGAGATTTCTCCATGTAGCTCTAGTTTACTCATTTTAACTCTGCATGATATTGTTATGAATAAACCACAATTTATTCATCCATTTTTCTGTGGATAAACATTTAAGATGGTTTCTTCATAAAAATTTTTTTGAACTCCAAGCTGTGTTGCAGTGCACATTATGGTACATGTACTTCCTAGAGCTCTGCTATAGTTTTCTGGGATATATCACTAGCAAAGGAATTGGGTTGGAGGGTATGTTTATCTTCAGCTTCACTACATGTTCTCCAAAGTGGCCAAACCAATTTACACTCCCCCAAAACATGCAGAATTCTCACTGCCCCACCACCTTATTAACAATTTTCAATCCTCCCATTCTGAAACATATGAAGTGAATGAGTATGTCATTGTTGTTTTCATTCTAATTTACCTAATGACCAGTGTGGTGAAATATACCTTCATGCTTATAGGCCATTTATTTTGTTTAACTACCTAGGAGTGGAATTGCTGCATCAAAGATGTACAAAATTAACTTTTATGAAACTGCCAAATAGTTCTGCAAAGTGGTTTTGCCATTTTATATAAGCATATATATATATATGCTTGCATCAGCAAGCACAAGCAAGAGTTCCAATGGTGCCAATCTTTGTCAGCATGTGGTACTGTCAGTTTTTAAATTTTAGCTATTCAAGTGGGTGTTTAAGTAGGATCTCACTGTGGTTTTAATTTGCATTTCCCTAATGACAAACGACGTTGAGCACTTTTTCATGTGCGAATTGCCCATTTCTATAGATATATATTGTTGTGAAGTGTCTACATTTTTTGCCCATTTTTAATGATCGTTTTTTGTTTTGGCACTGGACTGTATCAGGATCCAAACCTGTGATCTTGGTATTATAAGGCTGTGCTCTAACCGAGCTAATTGACCAGCCACTTTATTGTTTTACTTTTTACACTTTGATCAATGATCCAGCTCAAATTATGATGTGAGGGAGAGGTTACAGTTGCAGTTTATCTTTTTTCTGTATGGATATCCAGTTGTTCCAGCACCATTTGTTGAAAAGACTTTCTTCACTGGATTGCTTTCCTGCCTTTGTCAAAAATCAATTGACTCTATAAGTGTGGGTTATTTACAGACTCTCTATTCTGTTCTATTGACTTTTGTTTACCCTTAGGCCAATATCACATTGTCTTGATTACTGTATCTTTTTAGTTATGTCTTGAAGTCAAGTAAATTTAAGTCCTCCAGCTTCAGTGTCCTTTTTTTCAATATTATTTTGGTTATTCTAAATCCTCTGCATATCAATATAAATTTAAAATTAACTTATCAGTTTCTATTTTTTTAGAAAAAATGCCACTGATCAGGATTACTTTGAATCTATAGATCAATTTGGGAGAGAACTGATAATAATTTGTCTTCTAATCCATGAACATGGTATATATCTATGAAATTATTTAGGTCTTTTAAAATTTCTCTTGGCAATATATTATAGTTTTCAGTACAAAGGATTTTGCATGTTTTTTGTTAAATTTGTTCCTTATGCTTTTTAATGTTATGGTTAAAATGGAATTGTTTTTTTTAATTTTATTTTCAATTGTTTGCTTTTAATACATAGAAATGAAGTTTTTGTTTATTTACCTTGTATTCTGATACCTTACTAAACTTAGTTTTAGTTATAGTAGTTTTGTTGTTAATTCTGCAGTGTTTTCTATGTAAACACATCACCTCAGAATAGGGATTATTTTACTTCTACCTTTCCAATTTTTATGTCTTTTATTTTTCTTACCTTGTTGCACTGGTTAGGACCTGCAATAAAATGGTGAATGGTGGTGTGAGAGTGGGCATCCTTGCCTTTTTCCTGATCTTGATGGAAATGCATTCAGACTTTTACCTTTAAATATGATATTAGGCTTTTCATAGATGCCCTTTATTAAGCTGAAGAAGTCCCTT